GTAGTTTGCCCACCCCTGCTCTAATCCCTGGGGTCATAAGACAAAACAGGTTTTCTGGCTCTCCTGGAATAATCATCAACATGACTTTGATAGGAATGTTGTTCCATAGAGAGGGTGCAGTAGCAGAAAGGCCTACCTCCTGGGTCTCAGCAGATGACATTCTCAAGTGGACAGAACCTTCAACAAGCCTCTTCTGCTCACCTGATTGGCTAAAGAGATATCACTGGGGAGAAGTGATTCCTCAAATAACCTGGCTACGTGCCATGTTAGTTCAAGAGCCCAAGATAAACAAAGAACCACTTCTGTTTCTGCCATCAAAATCCACCCTATGATAAAGCTTACAATAAAGCATTCCTTAGCAAAGGTATTAGTTCTATGTTATAATATTTAGACATTCCAAATATGGGAGATCAATTCACATAACGTATTCTCTCTAACAAAATAAGACAGTATGACCTCATGCTGTTTTTCTGCTGCAGCCCCTATGTTACAAACAGCTTCCATCCTGAGGTCAGTTCAGCAACAGTCCCAATAGCCTTCTAGAAGCTAGTAAAAGTAGAGTTTTTCAGCGAGTATTTGAGGAATGATACATATGTATTATCAGTATTGAGATAGTATTGTATTATTAAGGTAATGCTGTTTTAGTTTAAATATTGCTTTATTATTGTAAACTTCTGGGAATCCGAGCACATTATTGCAGCATATGTATCTATGTAAATATATGCATATGCGTAAATAAATCAGGTATTTCAAAAAATGGAAAACCCAATATGCCTTTTAAAAATATGTAAATGCAATGTATGTCTGTTGAAGAAAAAGGAAGTTGAACTTCAAAAGATCATGAAAGATCATATTTATAATATGACTAGGAAAAAAGAGCGCAAATATGTGCCAATTAGATGCTGTACCTCCATTTTTCTGCTTTTTCTAGTTTCTTGGTGAATTTTTTCTAGGCATAATAAGCCTAAAGTAAAAGTAAAGACTTCCCTGAGTCGAAATCAACATTTGGTGGCTATATACTCTTTTCAATGTGGTGTTTTCGGTGGCAATTCAAAAATGGTTTACTCTTCCCTTTTTCAGCTTCCCCATCGGCCCTGTAGCCTTGGGATTTCCATGTGCTCTTTCATCAAATGAGACCAGGTTTAAGCCAACCTACTTGTGAGGACCAAGTCAGATTCAAAGAGTCTGAGACTTCATCGGCCTTTTACCATAATAGTTCACAAACATCAATTGTTTCTTCAACTGAAAATCAACCAGGTCTCACTCTGGTCCATAGCAGCACTTAGGGAAATAAAAAGAGATATAAGATTTTAACGTAGGAACCAACTGGGGGAAAAAAAGAGGGTGCCAAATGGCTGTAGGCTTATAGTTATCCATTGCTAGCTTTCTTTTCCAATATCAACTTTTCTAATATTTGTAATACAATTAGCTAATCAAACAGCTGTGTCCTTGAATCTCCACCCACTAGCTCTTAAGTAATGGTTGGAATAAAACCTGATAGTAAGTTTTTTTCCAAGATCAGCCAGGGTTGATTAGATGTTGCTACCTGTTGAGACATTTTAGTCCATTTAAAACTTAATACAACTGTTTCTTCCTGACAAATGTGAGGAAAACTTGCTTTTTGTTATATAAAGGTTTGCCACCAAATTTCAGTAATATTTATTTATTTATTGAATTTATATTGCTGCCTATTCGCCCATGGCGACTCAAAGCAGCTTACAGAATATAAAACCACATTTAAAACAATAAAAACTAACAAACAGAATCAAATAAATTAATATACCGTATTTGCCGGCGTATAAGACGACTGGGCGTATAAGACGAGCCCCCAACATTTCCACTCAAAATATAGAGTTTGTTATATACTCGCCGTATAAGACGACCCCCCCACTTGGAGGCATGTTTTTCAGGGCAAAAAAGTCATACGCCGGCAAATACGGTAAGTTGTAACACTTGGGGTATTCTGGATATAATTCTTGATTGACACCCCCGTCCCTTTCCCCCAAACTTACAAAGCCACCAAAATGCTTTAGAGAGGCAGCTTCGCCTTTCTCAGGCTGGCACTCAATTCCTCTCCCTTTCTTTGCGATCTGCTTTTTTCAGGGGAAAATAAATAAATAAAAATAAAACTGGACGAAAAACAGTCGAGTTGTTTCTTAATATCTTTCCACCTCCCCAACCAATTTGTCTCCAAGGGTGCACCACACTGATTGCGACATTAATTATTTCAGAGAGAGAGGGTGGGGGGGGGGGAGAAATCTTTGCTTCCTACTGTGGCTTTTTCCTGCGCATCGTTTTTTCCCTTGGCTTTGTGGTTGTTACTTCTTACAGGGAGGGATAATGAAATACCCACGCTGGGAGAAAGCGGAAAGGATGTTTATTTTCCTGCTCACTAACTTTCCAGAAAGCGTCGAGTTCCTACCCCGAGACTTGCCAAAAGTCCAGTTCATTCATTTGCTACCTTTCTCCAATGAGATCCAGATCTGTTTCCACAACGCGCTTAGGATCTTATCTTATTATCTTATTATTATCTTATTAGCCTTGCTCGGTCCGTCCAAGAGAGAAGAAGGCAGACAGTTTTGCGCTCAGGGAGAAAGGAAAAGAGCCTCTCGCTCACGCTGCACACTGCCCCCCCTCCACCCCAGCAACGCTTAGGAAAAGAGTTACACAAGCATCCTTTCCATAAGTGAATGGGGGGGGGGGGAGGATTCGGAGCAAAGGCTGAAACCGGGAAGAGAAAAATTCCCAAAGAAAATCGCACGAGCAGCATCCCATTCCTGGGAGAAAAACAAAAAAACAAAAAACACGAACTCTTCCCGAAGCACAAAAGCAAGGAT